ACACATTAGGAGTATGTAGAACTTAAATTAGGTCTTTCGGTTATATGTATTACAAATATATTTCCCAGGTTAGCATTTGTTTTTTGTTTTTATTTTATTATATTATATTTTATTATATTTTATTTTATTTTTGTTAGTCACCATATAATACATCATTAGTTTTTGATGTAGTGATCCATGATTCATTGTTTTCACCAGGTTAGCATTTGTGATTTTAACTTTGGTTATCCTGTTTTTCTGCTATGTAGAAATTGCTGATTTTATGTAAATTGTTCAGTCTTTTCTTAAATCACTCCAGCTTTTGTTTCCTATTAGGAAGGTTTTTCTCACACCATGATTGCTCTCCCATGTTTTTCTTCTAATGATTGTGTGGTTTTCTTTTTAATCTTTAAATCTGACTGATTCAGAATTTACTGATGAGGCACAGACTAAGGCAGGGCTCCATCTTTATTCTTTTTTCAAGTCATTGAGACCCTTGTTCTAATGTCATGTGTTGATTGATTGATCTTTCCCCCGCTAATTTGAATGGCACTTTGATCATAATCAAAATGTGTATTTGGGTCTCTTTCTGGACTTTGTGTTCGTTCCTTGGCCTGCTGTTCATGCACAAGTTTAATTACTTTGGCTCTATAATGTTTTAATATCTCATATTGCCCTGAAAGAATTTTCTTGGGAAGTTCTTTTTTAATTCTGTATAGAACTTTAGCACTAATTTGCCCACTTTGTGGTGGCACTTAATTAAATTATCTTAGGGGCAATTCGGATTTTGTTATCTTCCATTCATATATCAGGCGTATGTCTCCATCTCTGTCTTCTCCTCTGTCACATTTCAGAATTTTTTTCATCCAGATCTTGTCATTTCTCCTGTTTATCACTATGTATTACTGTCTTTCTTATTGCTCTTGTAAATAATAGGGGTCTTATTTTAAATCTCCTGTGTTTTTGGTTTGTATATATGAATGCTATTAATTTTAGTTTTATTAGTTTGTATCCACACAAATAATTGATTATATTATTTGGTTATTTAAAATAGTATGTCAGCTGATTTTCTTGTGTTTTCTAGATATGTAATCTGCAAATAATGATCATTTAAAATCTTTACCAACTTTTACGCCATTTCTTTATTCCAGCTGTGCTGGTTATTTCTTTTGGCAGAGTGTTAAGGTCATCTTTGAATATTCCTGATCAGGTTAAGGAAGTATTTACTCATTCCATTTTGTTAGAGGCAGGTTGTTGAATTTCACTAAATGGTTTTTTAATACATATAGAAATCTTCATGATTTCTCACTTTTGATTTATCAGTGGGATGAATCGTATTTATAGATTTCTTCATAATACTAAATCTTCAGAGAAATCCTGGAATTAAACACTTGGTTATGGTGTATTCTTTTGACTTTTGGAGTGTATTAATATATTAACATCTGTCTTATATTAATACTTAGTATTATTTTGTCAATTGAAATATTTAAGGTTTTTATAGTGTTCCTGTGGAACACTGGTTTTTCTGTACTATTTTTGTAGGGGTTTGTTACCATTATTCTAGATTCCTAGCTTCCCTTTTTTATTATGTACCGGAAAAGTTTAAATCACATTGGAGTTATCTGGCCGTTAAGAGTTTGATAGAATTGCCTTGTGAATATGTCCCTTCCTGGTGTTTTTCTAAGAAAGTTCTTTGCCAACTTCCTCTATTAATTTCTTTGGAAATTGTAGATTTCAAATATTCTGTTTTTTCTGTGGTCAGGTTTTGACCATTTATATTTTCCTAGAAAATTATAGTGTTTATCTTCTCTTTTTACACAGAAATGAACAAAATAGTTGCTTATAATTATTTTAATTTCTTTGTTACATTTGGCACTGGCTCTGTAGACATTTCTTAGTTTATATGTTTCTGTGCTTTGTGTCTTCACTGTTGATTCAATTAGCTAGTGATGTCTCTGTTTTTCCCTTAAGGGGCTCTTGGACTAATATTAGTTTTCGGTTTTTATTTTTTAACTGGCTCTGCTTTAGCTTTTTAGTTACTGTGCTTAGATTTTTTTTTTTTTTTTGCAGTTTTTAGATAACCTTTTTGATTCACTGGTTTATGAGAGTTTTACAGTTCTGTTATTAATACATGGTTTACTTTCACTGCAAGGAGCAAGTGTCTGCCCTTTTGGAATCTAAAATAAAGTTGTTTGGGGGGCACCTGGGCTCAGTTGGTGAAGCATCGGACTCTTGGTTTCAGCTCAGGTCATGATCTCAGGGTCGTGGGATCGAACCCCTTGTCAGGTTCCGTGCTCAGCAGAGTCTGCTTCTCCCTCTCCCTCTACTCCTCCCCCTGTGCGCACGCGCGCACACACACACACACTCTCTATCAAATAAACAAATAAATAAAATCTTAAATAAAATAAGGCTGTTTTTGTGTCTAGTTTTATGCTCAACTTTAATGAATTTTCCTTTGACCTGCTGAAGGTATGTTTTGGGTTTGAGAATAAATTGAACTAGATCTGCCTTGTTAACTAGGTCTTCTGTATGAATACCTAGTTTTTGTCTGCTGGATGTTTTTGTGCATGGAGAGAGGTGAAGTCTCATAATTCTGTATTCCTGTCAATATTTCCTTTATTTCTTACAGTCTTTGCTACAACCTATGCCCTGTTTTTCTCTTTTTTTTTTAAGATTTTATTTATTTATTTATTTATTTATTTATTTAAAAAGATTTATTTATTTATTTGAGAGAGCGAGAATGAGAGAGAGTACATGAGAGGGGTTAGGGTCAGAGAGAGAAGCAGACTCCCCGCCGAGCAGGGAGCCTGATGCGGGACTCGATCCAGGGACTCCAGGATCATGACCTGAGCCGAAGGCAGTTGCTTAACCAACTGAGCCACCCAGGCGCCCTAAGATTTTATTTATTTGACAGAGAGAGACACAGTGAGAGAGGGAACACAAGCAGGGGGAGTGGGAGAGGGAGAAGCAGGCCCCCCGCCGAGCAGGGAGCCCGACACGGGGCTCGATCCCAGGACCCCAGGATCATGACCTGAGCCGAAGGCAGACGCCCAACCGACTGAGCCAACAATTCTTATCCTAGATTCCAAATCCTGTTGGTTGCCGTGCTGGTCTCTGCTTCGTTTGGATTGCATTTCTGATGTGCCTGTGCCCGTTCTTGCCTCGTTTTTCTGAGTCACTTTAGAAGTGTGTCATGTAGACTGTGTTTTTTGTGTTGTGATTCAGTCTGTCTTTTTTTTTTTTTTAAAGATTTTATTTATTTATTTATTTGAGAGAGAGAAAGAGAGAGAGAGCACATGAGAGGGGGGAGGGTCAGAGGGAGAAGCAGACTCCCTGCTGAGCAGGGAGCCCGATGCGGGACTTGATCCTGGGACTCTAGGATCATGACCTGAACCGAAGGCAGTCGCTTAACGAACTGAGCCACCCAGGCGCCCCAGTCTGTCTTTTTTGTACTGTGGAGTTTAGCCAATGTGTACTTATTAAACAGACAAAGTTGGTTTTGGTCCTGTCATCATATGTAATATGCTTTCCATTTCTGTTGTTTCTTTTGGTGTTTTTATGTTTCACTGCATAATTTTTTTTTTATGAGTTCAGATAATTTAGAATGTTTGAATTTTTGTTCTGAGGGGTACCTTTATAAATTTGGATGGAATACTTCATTCTTGAGGTCTTCTCTGTTGGCTCCCTCCCGTGAATGGTGAGGACGTTAGGACACGTTCACCTTGGCCCATGTCCCTGCCCCCCCCCGCTGGACTTGGTGATTTCTGCTAGCCCTGACTTTCTACATCAGAGTCAAGCTGCACCAGCGACCCGCCTTCTCCCCTCGGGCTGTCCGTCAGCCTCCAGGTCTCTCCCGGGGCCCTGGTGGTTATGCTTGCAGGTCAGTTGGTCAAGGCTGAGGTACGCTCATCGTCACCCCCTCCTCTCCTCCTGAACCCTCCAGCTACCTGCACTGACAGACGGAGCAGCATCTTTGACAAGTTCGTGATCTTGTGAACAGAAAACCGTTGTCTGCTACACACTGCACGTTCATCAGTCCTCAGTTGGGGTTCACTACTTTTCTTCATTGAAATGTGTCCTTTGAATTTGGAAGGTGGATCCATGACGAGTACTTGCATTTGTTGTTGCGAAGGCTTTGATACTGAAATGACAGATGAATCTTGTAGGCGTTGCCTCTACGTCTTGTACACCTAGCGCCTCTCTGGGGAGGCTGCGGCTGGCCTGGTTCACCTTGTTCCATGCCTTGTGTGTGGATGTCCAGGAGCCTCCTGGTGGAGGGTGTTGGGGTTTGAATGGAAGGAATGGGAAAATAGCATAAATTCAAATATATCTGTAACATTGTCCTTAAGAAACAAGCAATGAAGCAAATGTGCCCTCATGTTAACATGAGTTCATAGAACCGGCGAATACAAGGGACCCTCCAGTAGTATTCTCTGTGGTCCAGAGTGTGTTTGAAATAGTACATTTTCTTAAAATTGAGTAAAATGCCATATGACTGTAAATCAGGGATTCTGTGTAGTGATCCAATCCAAAGTATATTTCATTGAAAATCACATTTTTGCCTAATGGATCCCAACATACATTCTTGTTTCTTTATATGTCAGCAGCCAGTCATGTAATTCTTACACGTTCTTTAGTGTCATTTCCTAAGTTTTGAGTCTGGGTATTTTATATTTGGAAGTCTTGGGACTGGAAATGATAACATTCTGAATTCTGAATTTGCAGACTGAGAGTGTGAGTTGCTGCAGAGGCCAGAGCTGCGTGGGATGTTAGACTAAAGTCTGTTAAGTGATTTCCGTTTGCTCCGTAAGGACTATTTTGAACAAATACTCCTCTAAATATACAAATAGAATTAAGCTTTAAAATAGCGTGATAATTAAAAGACAAATATCCAGGACTTTGTTTCTTCGGTAGGGCCCTCGTAAGTACGAGTAGTAACAAAGGAGAAATAAATCACCCTTGTGGATTTATTTATTGTCGAGTCCTAAGGGGTTTTTAATTTGTTTTTCCTCTGTACTCAGGTACATGTCTCGAGTCCACGGTATGCATCCAAAAGAGACCACGCGTCAGCTGAGCCTGGCTGTGAAAGATGGTCTCATTGTCGAAACCCTAACAGTGGGCTGCAAAGGCTCAAAAGCTGGTATTGAGCAGGAAGGATACTGGTTGCCAGGAGATGAGATTGTAAGTATATTTTATTTGATAAATTTGGAGATGCTGACTTTAAGTCTTTGAACATTATTTAACTACAACCCATAGTAATTCATTTTTAGAAGTTGACTAGTGTTTCACTTCAGTATTTCTTATTAACATGGAGGGCCTACGTTGGCAGGATGGGTAATTTCCTCCTTCTTTAGGAGGAAACTCACTTCTACAAAGAGGCTCCTTTCTCTGTCTAGGTTCCCTTGAATCTGAAAACTAAAAGTCCTCTTTACTGTACATGTAACTAATGGTCTTCCTGTTTTCTTCAGTAAATGTTAGTGCAGACTGTTTCATGTAGGATAATGTCGATGCTATCTAGACAGAGTGAATGGGAGACTCTCATCCTGGGCTGATGTCGTCTGCGCCCAGGGCCACCTGTCAGTAGGGCTTCTGCAGGAACTACGGTTCCTTGGATGGTATCCTCACTGACCGTGACCATAACCGGTTTGGTGGCGCTCCAGCAGAAATCAGGAAAGACAAAGCTCATTTTCTTTATATTTTGCCTAGTTCTTACTTTGACTCCCCTTCTAAGTGAGGACATTTTAATCTTTTACTTGGAACCTTGGGCATTTGTTTCTTATGTGTAAACATTGGTTTCGTATGTAATATTTTTATATTCCCACCTTTATTGGCCTTTGCTATTTCTAATACCTTGATTAGAAAAGTCTTAATATTTGCTAAGGAACATCATTTAAAGATGATAGGTTTCAAATATAATAGATACTGGTTTTTTTTTTTTTAGTTTCTAAAAGGAATCGATTTAGTAAGTAGGTGTTTTGAGAGTGTTTATCATGAATTCTCCAATGTCATAAAAATGACACAAAATTTTAAAATTGGTTCTTTGTGGGAACTTTTCCCAAGAATTATGAATTGTATTTCCCTTTCTGGCTCTACGGCGGATGTGACCGCATACAGGTTTGCTGTCCGGTCCCAGAGCAGCAGACTGACTGCATGTTTTCTGGGGGCAGCTGGTCTAAATGTTAGAGAAGTTGTTCAGTTGTAACACTGTGTTTCTAAGTTTAATCTGTGCCTTCAAAGTTTTAGGAAAGAAAATTCACACTTTCCACAAATAGAAAACGTGGAGGAAAGAATGTTTAATTTCACTGGTATCATTTGATCTGTGCACTTGAACTTTTCTCTTGAAAACTTAAGCGAGAATGTTTCTATCATAATAATTTCTCTGTTCACTTCCTCTCAGAAAAGTAGAGCTTTGTTGCCAGTAAAGAAACTTTGGGTGCCAAGTCCCAATAATTTTAATGTGAGGTGATCTAAACCGGTCTCCACCAGACGTTTGATAATTGATAGCTTATTATATACTGAAAATAATTCAGGTAATAGAAAATGTCTAATCCCAAACACTTGGAAATTTACAGACTTAGTATGGAAATTTCTGAGGTCTACATATAATCAACCAATAGTAAGTGCAGCTTAATCCACAGGATTTTGGTTTGTACACCACGTGTACATTTTTCATGCAAGAGATTTTACTTCTTACTTTTTAGGGTTGTGCCTCCCCATAAGCTTTTCTTCCTCTTCAGGTGGGTGTTTGACTCCCACGAGCAGCTAATGAGCTGTCCCGCCTTCACCGTTACGTTAGACTCTGTGTTCTGTATTGTACATGGACGTGTCCTTACTGCACGTATTTATAGCATCATCCCTTTTTTCTTTTTTCAAGATGAAATTTTAGATGTAAATCAAACAACCACTGTACAGGTTCTATTAATTCTGGTTGGTTCTTACAAACATTTCTTACACTAAGTATGCATGTTACAAGTGCAACCGGGTGTACGAAAATTGTGCCTAGTTTATAAAATAAGCAAGTACGAGAAATGGAGAAGCAGTGTAGTGTAGCAGAAAGAGGTTAGGTCTTACATGTTAACAGAGAGGGTTCCCCATCCCACCCCACGTGTTTATTTTGTTCTGTGACCTTGAGGAAATTTCTTAACCTCTGATCCTCATTCCTCACCTGTAATATGAGCATATTAATATGTATTTCACTTGATTGTTTTAAGGATTAAGTGAGATTATCTATATAAAGCATATAACCATGTACTCAAAGCGAGTTTTGGCCAGCAAATAAATATGCTTCAGAAATGTCTATAATATAGTGTAGCAAAAACACGTTTCTTACTAACCACACAAGCAAAAATTGTCATCAGGGTCTTTTTACTTTTAAGCCTGTATCTTCAAACACAAGGAGATGTGTAAAGAGGTTTCCCCGAGACACTGGATTTGTTTGAGGGGCAACTATGGAGTGATGAGATTGTGTGTGTCTCGCAAACCCATGACCGGATTAACCCATGCTCCCAGTGCTGTCATGCTGTCGTGGTCACGCACCGAGTCCTCTAGAAGGACACAGCTGACGTGTAGTCTGTGCATGCAGGCCGCTGTGTAGGGGCCGTTCTGACCCGCACAACCCCGGATGTGCACTCATCCCCCATAGCCAGCAGCGCTCGCGTGTTGGGCACCATGTGTCTCCCCTAGTGAAGCCAGCGTCAGGGGAGGGCCCCTGTTCTAACTCGCACAGAGGTGTTCTGTGGGCCAGCCCCACGTGCTGGAAGTTGAGGCTGGGGCCCTCCTTCATACTTTACATACCTGGTACATATAATTCTCTGAACACTGAGTTCTTAAATTGAAAGATGTAAGTTACTCATCTTGTTGTCTGTTGACTTTCTGACTCACTGTCAAGAGAAGAAGTCGAGCAGACATACATGGTCTTGGGAAGGAAAGGCATACAATTTTGTGCTTATTCCTTTTTATAAACCTTTAATTTGAAGTTAAAATATTCTTTTTTTAAAAAGATTTTACTTACTTGAGAGAGAGAGAGAGTGAGCAAGAGAGAGCACAAGCAGGGGCAGCAGCAGAGGGAGAGGGAGAGGCAAGCTCCCCGCAGAGCAGGGAGCCCGATGCGGGACTCGATCCCAGGACCCTGAGATCATGACCTGAGCTGAATGCAGACACTTAACTGACTGAGCCCCCCAGGTGCCCTGAAGTTAAAATATTCTTTACTCAGGAAGTTTTGTCATTTGAAAAATGGGTAGTAAAGCTCTTCTTTTCCTTCTATATTCTCTAAAAATAGTAGCTGTAGCTCAGAGGTGGGCAAGAGCTGATTTCCCTTGGTAAGTCCCCACGGTATGTTCCTGAGATACTCTGTGTTAGCATGGAGGTTGGACTTGTCTTTACTGCCATTGTGGTGGGAAGGAGAAGGTGGTCCTCACGCCTCTCCACTGTCACTGAGCGGAGAGCCTGTTGGGGTCACATTTGTATTCCACCTTGGCTGCCTTTTCTCCCGATGCTGATTTTTAAAAACTGATACAATTAAAAGATATGCATATCTTAAACACTATTTTTATTAAACCTAGCAATCATGTAATAAATGCCTAACGCTAACAATATGTCAGGATATAATTATAAATAATCTGTGAAGAGGAAGCCTGTATAAGTCAAAGACTGGCCTCTGTTGTACTGAGGTTCCTTCTGCCAGACTGGAATGATTTCTGGACATTGAGGTTCTGATCCCAACCACCGCTAGGCCCTGTCCAAGTGGTGAGTCACTGGGAGAAACTGTGACAAAGTTAGGCGGTAGATAAGCATCTTCCTGGTGATATTTTAAGTATGTCCATTTGAGAAAGCAGAAGGAAAAACATAATTATTAAAAATGAGGCCACTCTCAATTTTAAGTGGTTTGCTTAAATATTAGTCAACAAAGCAGCAAAAGTATCTGTGTACCAACCAATTTAAAAATGACAGTCTTGCTGAACCTGGGAGACACGCTTGTAAATTTTCTACAGTTTTCTTCCAGATTTGTATGTCATGAGTACTCACTCATAGGATCCAAGTAATTCTTCTAGAAATAGTTCTCAGAGCTTTCAAAATTATCTGAGTCAAGGCCAAGAGACCCAGGGCACAGTGAAACCTTGCGCTGTCTGACCATTCAACGTTTGGTTAGATCAAGGCTTTTTTCTTTTGATTTTTAAAGCAATCTTGCATGTTCTCCTAGATGGCTTCATCATCTGCTTGTGCTGGAGAAATATGCATGGAGGGCTACTTCAGTCCATGTGTGATTCTCACATCTTGAGAAACCTATTTCTTGGGCAGAATGTTACCATTGGCTGGGCTGAATTTGGCATTTAGTAGCTCCCTTTGTAGTAAAGACGTTAATTTCTCATGCCTTTAACTTCTAACTCAGAAGGTGCTCACTAGAGATAGGAAGGTCTTATAAAAGAATTCAGTGCAATCTAGTAGGGCAGGTAGCCTTGAGCTAGGGATCATGTGCGGATAAAACATCAAATATGTGTTTCGATGCTGAGACAGTTGTAATACCATCTATTTTAATGACTTCCGGCTTTCTTCGTGGTTTCTGGTGCAGAGTTGTGGCTCAGCCTTATTATTTGACAGGTACGTTTGATCTGACACTAAGTGATTTGGTTACCAGTGTCAGGGTTGACTTAAAAGTTCACATCAGTGACATGTGCTGTGAAAGTACAATTTTTACTCACCTCCCAGATCTGGGCTCGGGTCTCATTTCTTCTTTCCCGATTACTGCTATTTCAGAATCAGTATGTTTGTAGAGCAGCTGCCCCGGGACCCCTTGCACTGTCACTTAGAGCCCTCGGTCAGCTTCCTGCTGGTGACTCAGACACACCTGCACGCAGGAGCTCAGGTCCCAGCTGCCGTGCCCTGCGTCAGTCCAAGCACATTCTCCTGCCAAGAAGCAGGACCTCATGCTGCTTTCCAAGTAGGCCTAGGTGAAAAGATAGAATTCTTTATATTTTGCTTTTTCCCATGTATTTAAGGTTTTAACACTTATTAAAGAAGCATAATTAATGAAAATACACATTTTGTGGTTTCTTTGAAGGGATCACATGTTCTCCTGGGGATACATGGATTTGGCCTTAATTTGCAGAGGGGCAAGATTAGACACTTCCCCATCACTCTGTTTCTCCACATTCAAAATGGCCAGTCTAAAAGCATCTGTGATTTATATACCTCTAGAAACTTGTTACATTCACATCTTTTAGATGAGAGAGGATTGCATCTGTGTCTTTTCCTTCAGAAGTCACACCATCATACAGCCACAGCAAGAAGTGTTCTCTTAATTTGCTCTGGAAAAAATGCGAAGAGAAGCTGCTGAATTCAAGCAGCTTGACCGTCTCGGCCCACTTTGTAAATACAAGTATTGAACTGAGAAATGTTTAAATTTAGATCTTTGCATTTTTGTGGTTTAGTTGTCATAAATTAACCAATCATATGTTGTAAGTACCCTAAGTGCAAAATTTCAAGCTCGCTGGATACCATTGATTTTTTTAAGTGAAATATATTTTATTACATTTATGCTAATTATGTGCAGAACTACACATTTCTTCCAAAGATCCATTACCTGTCTCAGATGCAAAGATATACAAAGTCACTTATTTACAAAGTGAAGTATTGTCTGTGATTATTAATTAACTAGAAACCAATTGTACTATGGTTCTATGTGTATTCAAACTGTAATGTACTTAGAAATTATTCTTGATTTGGTAAAGAATTTCCATTCTCTTCAGTAGAGCATTTTGGATCATGCTATCCTGTTATATTCCATTCAGCTTTGTTTGACTGGTTGTGTGTGTGTGTGTGTGTGTGTGTGTGTGGTTCCTTTTTTTCCCTCCTTCTGTCTAAATTCTAGTTCACTAAGCAGTGTTATAATAGTTTTATTTTTTTAAAAAATAATATTTAAAATGACTGGAGATATTTAATCATCAAATTCTTAGCTCTCAATGACTAACTGATTTTGCATTGTATCCATGTTAAATACCACATCAAACACATATTTGATAAAGTAAGATTTATCTGCTCGTTACATGTAAGTAAGGAAAGACTTTAAAGGTTAGAATCTCTTTGGAATGTAATGAGGGTGGATTACAGGTTGGGAAGCCTAGTTACAGACACAGCTCTCCCAGCGAGCCCTCAGTCAGCAGTGTGTCTTGCTCTGTCTGGCTTATAGAAATGCTGTGTCAGCTGTCATCAGGAACTTAAAGTCCTGAAAAAGAAACTCGCACGTGTATTATTACAAACACCACGTCGTTACGTGACTTGTCCTCAAGTCATTTGTACGTCAGCAGATCCTCTCGGTAACCAGCTAGCACTTTCTGAGCATAACTCATTTCATCCTTACAAAAACCCTCTGATTGAGGCACTACTGTTTTGTTCATTTTACAGATAGAAAATGATACATAGAGAAGCTAAGTATCCTGCCCCAGATCACAGAGCCCCCCAAGGCTGGAGGCAGGATTTGAGCCAGTGTGGCTCTAGGGTCTTAAGCAAATGCTGTACGTGGTGACGGAGTAGGTCAGCAGGCTGCTTCTAGATGGTGGACTCTGTTCTCCCAGGTTCTGAAGACAGCCTGTGTGAACCTCACACCATGGTCAAGTAGTGAGTTTACCTTGTTCGCATTCATCACTCCCAAGTTTTAAAAAAAATCCAGCCTTGAGCCACTTTCACATCAAAAGGACATACATTCATGGTCTTGTGCAAATTTATAATGGCACAGAATTTGTCAGTGAAATGTTTCCCAAACATACTATAGGTTTCATGGCACATGAATTCTCTCTGAATTTTCTCTTTGTCGATTTGTAGCTTTTGTGTTAGTGTCAAAGTTATCTCTTAAACTAGTAATGAGTCTTGAGTTCGCATGCTACTGTCTTTTCATTGATGATTAGCACATTCATAGATTATCAATTGGTATCATCTACAAAATAATGTAAGTTGTATAGCAAATAATAGTTGACTGTGTACCAAATCCCTTTAGCTCTGTGTATTGCCTGATAATGAGCAACGTTGTAGTAGAGAGACCAAGATTATTTTGTTTTTATTTTGAAAGGCCTACAGTATGCAGCCTTTCTCCAGGACAGCAGCCCCAAACAAGGTGAACTGATTTTGCACTATGTTATTTTACTTTTTAATTCTGCCTTTTTTTGTATTACATTTCCATCTTTTTTTTTAGGCTATCTTAGTTTATTCTTGCTAGAGTTATTCATTAAGATCATACTGTCTTTACATTGCTTCTAGTCTTGGATTTTATGCTAGTAGGTTTGCATTTTTAAAACTTTCTGGAAGTATTGGGGTGTCATTTCACATAATATGCTGTCAATCAGGCTCTGTCTAGAGTAGTTTGCTGACATCTGGTGAAATCCAGTGAAAATGCACACTTACCTTTTGGCACACATTGAGTATTTCAGAAGTACTATATCAACGGATTGTGTTTACTTAAAGACAAACTGTAGGCAACTCTGCCTATAACAAACATGCTTATATCATTTATACCCATAACAACATTTCCTGGATTCAAAATCTAATAACTTTTGAACTTGACTTTTGCATGTTACATGTTCTGAGTAGCTACTGCTATCCTTAAAAGAATGAACAGCACATACATGCTGTTACATTAACAGGTATCCACATGTTTCTCTACTTTTACTTGATTTGAGTTATACATTCATTCCTACAGTTGTGAAAAACTAGGTCTAGGATTACACACTTTGGTGAAGAGAGATCCACTTTCCTCTTTGTGTCATGGTGGGATGGGTCAGAAGGCAGGAAGCACTTGGGAGACCTGAGCTGTGTGCCTTGTCTTGGTGATCCAGTTCCCATTTTGAGAATTACAGGAAGATGAATTAATATAAAAAAATGCAAATGATGAAGGATGGTTTCTTTTGTTCATAAAAAGTCAAATAAAAGCCATCGAAATCCTTTAAGATGTTTCTGAACAGCTATGAAGAAAATATTCTGAAAGACTTTGTTTCAAACTGGGAAAGAGTTCTTCTGTTAATTGAAAATAGACCAAAGTGTGTTGTCCTTGCTGAAACCTAATTTATCGACAATTTATGAGACAAAACTTGTAATAGCTTACGTGCAGCTTCCCACCTGAGCCCTGTGAGACGGGCACCCCCAACGACCGTTGTCACAGCCAGGGCCCACACGCACGTGTTGTGTCCAGCTTGGTGAGCTACGTTTCTTCTACCATGTGCAAATTAGGGTCAAATGTCAGAGCAATATCTTATGATTTTTTTAAGTAGTCTGACTGAAGTCCCTCTACCAAAATAAGTTTGCAGCAAATCTGCAGCAAATAACCAGAAATGGTCATGCTTTTTTATTACTTTGGTTGATAAAGGCCACTTTTTAAATAAAAAGCAAACCAAAAATTTACATTTTTGCAGAATTTGGTAATGTACTCTAGCCATGACTCTGAATATGGGTAGGAAGACATGAACTTGGGAAACTTCTCTTTTGAAGGAGTGGGTGGTAGGCCCTTTGTGAGGTCAAGCAGTGATTGTGATAAGTGTGGACCTTTGGTGCCAAAGGAACCACTGCTTCCTAGACAAGTCCCACGCTGAAGCCCGTGGGTTGGGGCAGTTACTGACCTAAGAGAAAACAAGAAAGCTGCCCAACCCCAGAAGCAGACTGTAGGCAGTGATTTATGAAAAGAAAAATGATGGTGGAGCTTAAGCCTGGAATTTCAGGGTCCCCATTGAAAGTGGCTTGGATTGCACTACGTGTGGGCTCCACCCTTGTTCATTTATTAACCACATCAACAGAGGAAGGTTGAGAGTTAATCCATCACTCTTAACACAGGTATTTTTTGATAAAAGCTAAGAGTGATATTTATGAGGAATGAATTAATGAATTAGTTCTAAATTAGGACAACTTGTAACATCTTCCTGTTTCTAGTTAAATGGCGTTGGCTGTTCACACACAGAGTGTAACAGAAAATGTGCGAGAGTACCCGCCCTTCCGGGGATAGTCCCAATAAGAAAAGAAGCCTACTTCCTTTTTTGTTTCTTTATGGTAATGTCCTTTGGAGAATGTGATTAAACCTTTAGTTTCACATTTTCAATTTATTTTTCCAAATTCAACAGACCCTGAAAATTTGACAACTGTCAGAACATGGACATTCTGATTAATGTTATTTTCAATAAAGCATCCAATACCATGGATGAGAAGATAAGAATAGTGAGCATCACCATTTACTACTATTCTCTCTGTTCCCACAGTGTGCTAAGTACTTACTATATTTTGTTAAGATGCAGAACAAAACAGAGGTTGGTTTATTTGAAATACTAAGCTGTAGGTACTGGTTTGGGGTATTCAGTTTACTAAAGAAATTATTCCATAGATTATATAAAAAATGAAAGATAATGTTAGAACTGGGATTGGCTCTGGACTTACTTCATTTGGGCTGGTTTTACTATCAGATCACCTTAAAATATTCTGAGTATTAATATTGTTTAGGAAAGAAACTCTAAAGAAGCAAATTTCTAGGTATTTTTCCCTCTTGTTTTAACACAGTAAATGTCTAAAATTGTTTTTAATGCCTAACTTCTGATAGACTTTAGTTTCAATTTTGTTCTTAGTTATTGCAGATATTGACAAAATGTCATACGAAATTATTTTGTATTTTTTGTAGGACTGGGAAACAGAAAATCATGACTGGTATTGTTTTGAATGCCATTTGCCTGGAGAGGTGTTGATATGTGACCTGTGTTTTCGTGTGTATCATTCCAAGTGTTTGTCTGATGAGTACAGGCTTAGAGACAGCAGTAGTCACTGGCAGTGCCCAGTATGCAGGGTGAGTACCTATGAGCTTTCATGTGCTGGTCAGAGGGTTGGAATTCACTGATAATAGCTGTGCAAGATACCCCAGGTGGGCGTGCCAGGTGAATGGATGATGGACTGGAGGGTGGGGGTTATCTGCTGAAATGATGGTGAATGAACACAGCACTGGTCAGTGCATACCCCCAGAACACCTGACATATTCAGGGTATGGATTGTAGAAAGTTCCAGTCACATAAAAATACACTTTCTTCCCTTATGTTACACTTGCCTCTGGATTGTGTGACTCCTGTCATGGCTAGCCTTTGGAAATCAAGGAATAGTCTCCCACACCAGGTTCGGTTCAATCTGTCCTTGCCACTCAGGAAACACAAGCCAGCAAAAGGCACATTGTTGGAAACATTTTGTATCTACTTCCCATTTTATATCCATGTAATGTCGCCTTTATTTTTTGTCATATCATGGGTTAGTTTATTCCTTGCTTGTATTTTATTTGGAGGGTGGAGGGATGGGACCGTTGTATATAAAGCATTCTAATTACTTAAAGCAAAATGAAACAGTCTCGTAGGAAAAATAGGGACTTTCCACAATTATTTTCATTCCTGTTATTTCCCTAGTGAAAAGTATACCTGGCTGTGCTTGTTGGATGTAGAACGTGGTGTGTGTGCGTACAAGTGATGTGTGACACCTGCATAATATGTCGCCGCATGTGGCGTTGACGGTGATTAGTAAGGGGTTATTTTGTTGCAACCTCTATTGTTTTGTATTTGTAATTGCTATGATCGTATTTGGAACCATGCCAGTTGCCCGGATTACTCATGGGCTCAGTTTCTGAATATACTTTGTATTACTTGAGTTAAATATTCATTTATAATGTAAAAAAGTTGTATCTTAATAATTTTTCCCTTCTTCAGTATTGGTCCTGAATTTCCTGCCAGCATGATGAGCTTCTAGTACTGTCTTAGTAACTTTGACTTTGTATTTTCTTAGTATACTTCATCTCACCAGCACCCTATACATGCACAGTGTATTACTCCGGTATACCTCATCTCACCAGCATTAGTGTTCAGGCTCAGTGTGTTACCTCGGTATACGTCACCTCACCAGCACCACTGTCCACGCCCAGTGTGTTAGCTCAGTATATGTCACCTCACCAGCATTACTGTACGTGCTCAGTGTGTTACCTCGGTATATGTCACCTCACCAGCATCCCTGTACAGGCTCAGTATACTTCACCTCACCAGCACCACTGTACACGCTCAGTGTGTTACCTTGGTATACGTCACCTCACCAGCATCCCTGTACAGGCTCAGTATACTTCACCTCACCAGCATTACTGTACGTGCTCAGTGTGTTACCTCAATATACTCACCTCACCAGCATTACTGTACGTGCTCAGTGTGTTACCTCAATATACTCACCTCACCAGCATTACTGTACGTGCTCAGTGTGTTACCTCAATATACTCACCTCACCAGCATTACTGTACGTGCTCAGTGTGTTACCTTGGTATACGTCACCTCACCAGCACCACTGTCCACGCCCAGTGTGTTACCTCAGTATACGTCACCTCACCAGCATCCCTGTACAGGCTCAGGATACTTCACCTCACCAGCATTACTGTACGTGCTCAGTGTGTTACCTCGGTATACGTCACCTCACCAGTACCACTGTCCACGCCCAGTGTGTTACCTCAGTATACTTCACCTCACCAGCATCCCTGTACAGGCTCAGTATACTTCACCTCACCAGCGTTACGTACATGCTCAGGGTGTTACCTCAGTATACTTCATCTCACCAGCACTGGTGTACACACTCAGTATATTACCTTGGTATACTTAATCTCACCAGTACTACACTACATACTTGGTAGACAAGAGATCATTAGGGTGGCATTATAAATATGGTGTGTAATGATGATTCATTATCAAATGCCTAAATGCTAGGTCATTGATAAATCCCTGAATCTGCATGTATCAGTATCAAGCCTCAAGCTGTAGACGTCCTCTTTGGTGTCTGCAAGAATTTGTGATGTCTCCATGAAATTAGCTTAACTGGGGGTGTGGAAACTGCACTAATATTCATACTTTATTTTTATGGATTTGGATTGTGCATTTTATTTTTTTAAAAGATTTTATTTATTTATTTGACAGAGAGAGACACAGCAAGAGAGGGAAACACAAGCAGGGGGAGTGGGAGAGGGAGAAGCAGGCTTCCTGCCGAGCAGGGAGCCTGATGTGGGGCTCGATCCCAGGACCTGGGATCATGACCTGAGCCGAAAGGCAGACGCTTAACGTCTTTAAAAGCAAATATCTGTTTTCTGGTAATAGTTAACACTTGAAGTAAGGTATTAATGAGATCTTAAGAACAAGAGCATTAAGGTAGTAAAAATACAAAAGAGGTGGGTTGCTGATCAGATAGGAGGGACTCTGGCCTTCAGGAAGTACAATTCCTGATGCCCCAGTGTCTTTACGGCCACAGATTTCATAGTACAGACTGAGCAAAAACACTGGGATTTTTGAAGATGGGTTAAACTTTATTGTGGCTGTTTTATATTCCTGAGTGGAAATTGAACAATTATACCTTTGAAGAAAATGTCTAATGCTACTTTTGTAGGAATTCACTGTCAAGTTGTCAGGTCCCATTTTCCACGTGTGTTTGCTCTGCTTTGACGGACCAGATGGTTTTTGTTAAATTTCAGAGAGTCACTGGACCACACAGAAACATGGTAGCCAAAGTGGCACTCAGTGTACCCCATCTTTCTTTCTATCCTTTGATTTTCCTTTAATCTTTGTCAGTTTGTACTTGCCCATGTTGTGAGAGGGTTAAGCTTGTGGCAGGGATGCTGAGTCAGTAAACACTCGTGACCCCACAGTGGTTTCATAGACTGGGAGAAACTCTGGGGAGGCTCAAAAAAACTATGTTGGGTTGGGGATGGTGAGTTTTATTTTGAGCTTTAAAACATCTAAAGAAATACTTATTTCTGTGTAGGATCTATTCTATTGTTAATTGTTACATTCAAGAAAAAGATACGTGCTAACAGTTCCTTTCCTGGGAGAAGGGGTCATAATAACCTTGACATTCTAAGGGGATTTCAAGTATCTTTAAGGAAAGGCTTGTGGTTGATTTGTGTTTTTAAATAGTGTCAAAACTTCAAGTAAAACAATTTTTGTGATCTAATATGAAAGTAACCGAGCAGATTTAAATGTTCTTGCACTTAATGAGCAGAAAGTGTAGAGACTGTGACGAAGAATGTGGTTGCAGATCAGAATATCACTCCCCAGTCTCCTTTTCCATTAGTGTTTGGAAAGAGTACAGATTAACTAGACACACTCATGAGGAATTTTGAAGATAAGATGCCCAGAGCCAAATTTCAGTGCAGGTTGAAAGAGTAGGTGGAAGCCATCCATTACTATCTAAACTTGAATATTTCTAGTATCTTATAGCGATCAGAAGACTTTTGTTTCTGTGTAAAATGAAAGCATTGAAAATGTCACTGAGAATTGGTCTCAGCCAGCAGTTAGCTGTTCAAGCAGCTTTATCTCCTGTATCTATTTCCAGATATTTTAAGAAGGCAGTGATAGAAAGTTTTCTGTATTTAAAATAATTATATTAGCATTCATAGTAAATCTCAAGGATCTCACAACCCTGAGGATATTTCTTTGGAATATCTGTCTTTCTAAAAACTAAACTGTACAGACAGGGTAGATTATTCTTGAAAAGTAGCCTCTGAATGTCAGGTTAACATTTTGCTTTGAAAAAATTCTAGTAACATACTGTTTTACACTCTTACAGGGAACTCTCATTCATTAAAAAAAGGGGGGGATTTAAAATTACTTCTTTCATAGTTATCTATAAAAAATTCAAGTAATTTAGAGGAGGATAAAGAAAAAATGACATTTCCAGAAATGCTAGGGCACAGCAGGTGGATGTCCTCACAGGCCTCTCTCTGTGTGCATGAGCACACGCATGTGTGCACATGCCCTCCCTTTGTCCTGTGACTGTGTAACTTCACATACGTGACTGAATGTAGCCAGTGTGCATCTATTCAGCACTGTCCCAGGTATGTTTAGTAGGGTGAGCCCTAGGTTATTCCCTACTGATGCACATTTCCATCGTCCCCACTGTCCTGTCTGACCAGCAGTATCGGCCTGAAACTTACCTGTCAGGGGCCACGTCCCCCCATGCCCAGAACCGTGCTACACTCACGCTCTCATGAACAGTCTTCTCGCTATAATTTATTTCTGTATGCAAATGAAGTTTGTAATTTGTTATAGTCGAGTGTGTTTGGATTTTATATTCCTGAAATAGCCATGAATTTTTCAGGACAAAAATGAGAAAAATCATAACTTTTAAGTGAAGGTAGCTTTTAAGATCTTATGTGGCCTAGAAGATACATCTTTAAAACACAGTATAGTCAATCGCTTATAAACAATAGGTATTTATGTAATTCTGTCTGATCACTTTCACAGAATAAATTTATTGAAGTGGAATTCATAATTTAAAGGATGGGCACATTTTAATTTATGATAAAAATCACCAAATTGCCCTCCAGAAGATTACACCTGTTTTTTTTTTTTTAAAGATTTTATTTATTTATTTGACAGAGAGATAGAGAGAGAGAACAAGTACGCAGAGAGGCAGGCAGAGGGAGAGGGAGAAGCAGGCTCCCCGCTGAGCAGGGAGCCCGATGCGGGGCTCGATCCCAGGACCCTGGGATCATGACCTGAGCCGAAGGCAGACGCTTAACCGACTGAGCCACCCAGGCGCCCCAAGATTACACCTGTTTATACCAACATGAGTGTTTTCCAGTTTTCTGTCACCAGTGTGATAGGATACAAATGGATGTCTCATTTCAGTGTTGCTTCATTTTTTACATAGTTTCCAAATCACAAAGTCACCTTATCTTTTGATGCCTTGGTCATTGAAGGCAGGCCTGCACGTGTGCGTTTGTGTCCCTGCATGGTGTGTGTGTGTGTGTGTGTGTGTGTGTGTGGTGTGCGCATGGATGTGGGA